GTTCAATGAAAGAGCGTGTTAAATTACAGTGATGGACACATAACAGTAGATTTTATTATTTATTTTACAGAAATATTTCTATCTCAGATCAAAGCCAACATTTAAAATGCGTTATATAAAAATACTTGGTCTTGATAGTCTAGATGTAAGTGACGTTTATGAGTATGTGATCTAAATGAATAATAAAAATTACCCCCCTACCCAGAGATGAGAGTCGCACGCTGAAGCCACTAGTTCGCACTAATATGGCTCGCAAACCCACTGTGGGTGACCACAATCTACTGTATTCCGTACTACGTAGAAACAGTAAATCTACTGTAGCTATTAGGCCAAGCACTGGCGCATCACAAACGTTTGTACGCAGAATCCTTACAATTCACTTTGCCAATTGCCAATTAGACTTTGCGCTGGACTTCTTGAATAACGGTTGTTAACGATAATAATGATATACAGACAGTGCAAGTAACATGTTATGGCTACGAAGTTTGTTGAGAAAATCGTTTCTATTAATTTATGTTGTGAATCTTAATTGGAATGTATCAATTTGTTGAAATTGCTATTCGTAATAATGTTTATTACGTTTAAGGAGATACAATATTTTCTCAAATTTAAATCCGTTTTTTTCAATTATTGACAAAATGATACTAAAATTTGTAATCTTTATAAGTGGAATAGGCAAGTTTAAAGTTATATGGTACTTTATGTATTTTATAAAACTTTTTGCGCTGTTAACTCATTATTACTATCAATAAATTTCAATAACAGCTTTACCTACATTAAGCTGTTACAGGGACTATTAAATTAGTATTATTATTTTAAAATAAAAACTATACTATCGTTATATATATAAGTAAAAAAGTTATTATTAATGTTAGTTGGTTTCTAATATTAAAAAAAAATCACATAAGTAATATCTATGAAGCAGAGACAAACTTATATCACGACGCGCTATGCGCCAGGAAACAGTTATAACTACAGAGCATACATATCCTAATATAATTTTTAAAACTATTTTTAGTCTGTTTAACACACACATCATACAGCTTACTGTGTCAACGAGCATTTACACTTAAATAAGCATTAAAAATATCTAAACCTTATTCAAACTGTTCGCCAACACAATTGAATTTAACGATAATGGTTAAGGTCGCAAAAAAATCTTGCAAAAATACATGAAACCACTAAAGTCATAACTAAATAAGTCGAAACTTCAATGAATATTCCTTATAAACGAGCTAGGTCTGGATATCCTTAGTTGCTCCCCTCACACTATAAAATCGATTTTTGGTTTAGTTTATTGTAATTTTAATTTTTTTGATTAGTAATTGTTTTTTTTGTAATGTTTGTTTTGTTTAATACTTGTTTTGATTAATATTTGTATGATCTCTACATGTATGTTTGCCTTTAAGTGCTCGTCACATTGAAAGTTGTATATTGTGGTTGTTTTACCAATGTATCAGTGTGCCGAGCGTTGGCAAGCTTTTTTTTTAAAGAACTTAAGACGCTTTATTTATTTTTGGTCTCAAACAATAACACATGGTACAAGGAGGACAATCAGATCGGAGGACTATATGTAACTTTGTTATAGAAAGGATATACATTTTTTAAAATAACAATAAAACTTAAGAAGGCGTAGCGCATGAACCAGAACCATGCAACTTCCTCACAATCGAGTAGCCCGCAATATCGCAGCACACAACTCACGAGGGGACTCTTTGTATAAAAGAAGTCACATGGGTCTGCCAATCATGTAGGAATGAAGGCAATAGTAGCAAATAATGTACACAGTAAGATTTCCAAAACGACTCGGCGATAAGTCTCCATGGGGTTGCTGAAAATGTCCACCGAGACATTTTTATTAAGTCCAAAACTGTGAAAATAATTATCACAGTTTTATTGTAAATGAGACATTATATCACTCGTTATTCTCGCTGAAATATGTGTTCATGTAAATGTCAGTCTACATTTTGTCGTAATCGTTGACAAACGTAGCCTTGCAAATAAATAATTTTCGCTCAGAATTCTTAACTAATGTAAAACTATGCTGGCGCCGTGTATATTTCAAATTGTAATTTCTTATCACAGGTTAAATTATTCTCATTTAAAATACTTACGAGATATTATTGCGACCTCATTATTGTATAAGCAATATTTTCTTGCTGTTTTGTTTATCTTAAGTTGTTTGTCTGCTTTTAGTTTTAGTACGGTAATTTTAACATACCAGGACTACTGTTAGAAAGCTTATTATTGATATTCGTGAAGGCTGAAAATGAGATAATAGAGACAGAAATGAGTCCAAAAAAGGCTGGGTTATATCAAGTCAAGTAAAATCATTTATTTCAATTAGACCACCTAAAATGACACTTTTGAACGTCAAATAAAATATAAAGATGATTCTAGTTGCCCCTTCCAAAAGGTAGTTTTGTGTGGAGAAGAATGGGCAAGAAACTCCAACTTACTCTTTTAAAATAGGTTTATAATATTTTGTATACATTAGTTAAATAATTATATGTGAAAACAGTATACATGTTCCTCACATATTTACAAATATCGAAATCGTAGAATATTATACATTAAAGAAGAAAATAATAAAAAAACCAATAAAACAGTGTGTGAGATAAAAATAAAATAATTACAGTTTGTAGTATTATAAAATAAAAAATAAATGATTTATATTCTGTAAGTAGGTTTGTACAAACACTTTTACACATCAAGCATATTTTTTTTTTAAACTAGATGAGTTCGACGTTTCCTATCTGACTACTCTGAGAAGAAACGTCGAAAAAAACTCAGAGGTCACTGTCTCTTTTAAAGTCCAGACATAACAAGATTATGTGAAGACCATGTAGATTGCAGTCTGAAATGGTCTTTTGAGGAAAGAACCACACAGATTGAGGGGATCTGTCAAGTCAGTGCACGCATTTGTCAGTAATCGTGCAGCTCAACTCAAAACTTAAGGAGCTTAACAATTCGACTAACAATACCAAAGAAAAGACATTTGGGTAGGCCGCATAAATTACTCAAACTGTCAGACTATGACTAAAACTGAAAAAAAAATAACAAAAATATATAAAATTAGATCAGCAATTGGTTTGATTTTGTCCAGGTTCTATGATTGTCCTATGGAGCAGGACCAGCATGTTTCCAAGCATTCTTATCTTGAATATAATCCTCTAATTTGTAAGATGCTTGTTTACAATGTGTACTTACTTTTAATAAAATACTTAAATTTTCGCTCATTTGGTTTTAATATGTCACAAGGTATTTTATTGTAACATTTAACACAGTACGCCATGAATGATGTTTGAACTTTGGCTAATATGAGAGATGGTTGAGCTATTTTATCTTTATTTCTAGTACTGCAATAATGTCTATCACTTATTTTACTAAAAAGATTCACAGTATTAAAAGTAACACAACAAGTAGGCCTGGTTTGAATATGTGGAATAGACTTACCAGACCTACAATTAATTCCAGATGAAACCAAGAAAAACAACGTATTAGTATGGTTGAGTTGAAACTCGGCGTGATTTCTTAGAACTGGTACACTGTAGACCAATGTTGACTGGCTTTTTACATTCTGACATAAATTATTTAACATCGTACGTACGTTCATGGTATTTGCGAACGTTGTCGTCAAAACGGCGCCTTTAATACGAAGCAACTATTCATAGAATTAGCTTGCTATATTGGTTTAGGCGTGAAAAGAATTGATGTTTGATGTTGAAGGAACAGGGAAATCGGATCTTATGTGAAGGTTCACATTGTCAGAAGGATTGCGAGTGTGTTACGGTCCTTTTAAGAATACGTATATGGTTAGAATTTATCTTTAAAAATGAAACCACGGTTACAATAGCTTGATTGCGATCAAAGCGTTCAAATTTAATTAACAAAGTAAGTTTAAGCAATTACTTTTGCAATAATAAGACGACTCATTGGTCTAGTGGTTAGTACCCCTGACTGCGAATCCATGGCTCCCGGGTTCGATCCCCGGCTGAGACGAACATCGATGTGATGAGCATTTGGTGTTGTGCTTAGGTCTTGGGTGTTTAAATATGTATTTATATGTCTATCTATCTATAATATGTATGTATATCCGTTGCCTAGTACCCATAACACAAGCTTCACCAGCTTAGCATGGGACTAGGTCAATTGGTGTGTATTGTCTTAAAAAAAAAAGTGCTATGATAAATCCCTCGCGCTCTTTTTGAAAGACCCGTATTGGTTCAAAAAACCGTTTTAGTCCCAGGACCTTCCCTGGGGGAATCACTCACAACTCAACGCATATTGGTGACAAATAGCTAACAATTTTAGCAATAATTGTACAATTCGCATTTGCCAAATCCGTAATAAGGCCGCTTATATCATTTGAATACTCGAGACGTACGAATTCGTCTGCCTAGTCACGTCACTCAAGGCTGCTTTCAAAAAGTTTAATTTTACGTTAAATGACATTAACGAGTGGAAACGTTGTGACACCTTGACCATGGGTTTTCTCTAATTGTGTATTCTAAATATTCAATATCTTTTATATACGAGTCATACGTTATAACTGCGAGTTGCAAAAATCAACAATTATTTTAATATCTTATATTCTTATATCTATCTCATCCCCGAGGTCGTATGTTCGATCCTTGGTTGTGCACCAATAGACTATCTTCTATGTGCGCATTTAACATTCGCTCGAACGGTGAAGGAAAAACATCGTGAGGAAACCGGCTTGACCCAAAAAAATTAACGGCATTTGTCAGGCACAAGAGACTGATCACATATTAGCCTATTAGATTGACAAATAATTATGAAACAGATACAGAAATGCCCAGACCTAAAAAGGTTGTAGTGTCACTGATTTATTGTTTATTTTATTTTTAATCCCAAGTATGGTATACGCACTGTGAGGCAGACATATTTCTGCGTTTCACTTATCACTTTTATCTACAAGTAACCAGCCTTCTGTGTCGGACGTCCTTGATTTTTGAGTCAAAGACATCCGTGTCGTCATGATAGTACAAATGTATTTTCTACACAAAGACATTAGTCCGCCGCTTCGAATGCCCGACCCCAGGTTTGACGCACGATTACACCCATCACAACTAGCCCTCGGAAGTAAATTCTTAAATAAATTGTAAAGTTTAATTAAAGCGTTGTTATCTGTTAAAGCTGCATTTTCTTATAAATATTCATCGCACAAACGCGCGGCGCCTTGTCGGGCTCGAGTCAAAGGTGACGCGGCGCCACGGCTTAAATCGTTCAGAAAAAAGAATGCAGTGAAACAATTGCGAACAGTCTAAACTCGGCTCTTAGATACGTCACGATTCATTCCAAAAGTGCTTGGAATATTTATAGGCATATTGGTCATCGGCTACAATAGCTTATAGGTAACAACAGGTTAGAGGCCAATTTCAGAGATCCCATTGAAATATTAAACACAATTTGGAGTAATTAATAGCTGACAAAACTACAGGATTTACCTAATACATATTTTATATAACAACATGTACTAATATAGTAGACTTTGCGTAAAAATGAAATATGTTTATTATGGAATATAAGATACAGGTATCACTTATTCCACGTCATTAAATTTGTATAAGTAGACATCCCTACCCATCGGCAAAGAGGACAGAGGCCGAGAGAAAAACCCGGCGTAAAAAACTCTCGGTACTCTTTTAAAATAGCAAATTATCAAACAACACCTATTTTAATATGCACATAAATAAATAAATACGAAGTAGCCTGTCTAGCACTAGTCCTAGGCCCTTTTATCAACTAGATAATCGTTAACATTATAGTAAGCCTTCTTACACAGCTTTTCTTAAATTTATTAAAAGGCATATAGAAAAAAGGCTCTGGGATTTTATTTAAGAAAAGTATCCCTTTTCCCAAAAAATAATTACTAACTATAGATAGTCAATAAAAATAATGTAAAACAGGAGATAAAATAAAAATATACTGTTTATATAATTCGCTAGGCATCATTGTATACTGAAAAAGAATCAACGACATTATAACTAAACGTTTGGAGTACATTATCAAATTGCTAAATGGCTACGATGAAAACAAATAGGTTTATTATTTGGCAAGGCAAAGTCACGGACTACGGTATGCTCGTAAGACGATGTTTATGACACGATCGGCGCCACCTCATAATAAATCTAAGAACGTCATCCACAGATTATGAATTATTAGCAACACGCTTTGTTGGCGCCACCACTAAATTATAATCTGCCCTCATGTACAAACAAGTCCAATCGTCATGTTTACCAAACTCAGGAATGAACACAGAACATAAATGCGATAAGAAAATTTACAGCTTCAATAATATTTTATTGCGATGAATATATCCGTATACCAAACTATATAGGCATTTAGCAAGGCGTGAAATCGTATTTGAATTATTTATGCCGAGTCCGTAACTGCTTCTGGTTAAATTTATAAAGATAATAAATTGTAATTGTAGAATTTATAGTATTATTTATGGAAACGAAACACATCGAGTTGGTTATTTGCAATTCAATCTCAAATTGTAACGATGTAATTCATTTTAAAAGAAATGACAATATTGTCATAATTCATTAGACACATATATATAAAATTCTCGTGTCACAATGTTCGTTCCCTTACTCCTCCGAAACGGCTCGACCGACTCCTATGAAATTCTGTATGCATATTCAGTAAGTTTAAGAATCGGACAACATCTATTTTTCATCCCCCTAAATGTAAAGGGTGGTCCCATCCCTAAATTTTTATTTTTATTTTTTAGACAAAATATTTGTTTTTAATTTTTTATGATACATCATACAAAAATACATACAACCCTAATTGTCACCCCTCTACGATCAACCCCTATTTTTTATTATAGTAGATATTTAATTTTTTGAACTAAAAAAATGTTTCCTAGAAATAATATATGTACATGCCAAAACGACGTTTGCCGGGTCAGCTAGTAAATATAATATAAAATTATGTGTTCCTTACAAAACTTGAAATGGTTGATAGCCCAATGCCCAATTTATTTTCGTAAAGCTATCGTGTTTCTAATGATATTTTAATCAACGATTAATCAGCCTTCTGTCTCTGACGTCATTGATTTTGGGTCTAAGAAGTGTTGATAGTTTCTGTTTACACCCATCACAACTATCGCTTTCATTTCCGCAAGTTATTGCTGAAACTATAACTGAGAAATGAAAATAATATTAATGGTCTGTTAAGATGTCTTGCAATGAAAGAGTGCAAAGAATCGAGTCAAGATATCAAGAAAGCAATGCAAAGTAGTGGTGACGCCGTCTAGACGGCAATACTATAACGATTGAATAACACTTGATCCAATCAACCCGAATAGAGGGGTCGGGGAGGTCTTGCGAATCGGCTCCTCAATCGCGAACAGACCCCAATTGATTTTGCGACATGTTTAGATATCTGTACAAAGAAAATACACTTTTAATGTGTAGTTTCGTATTTATTTTTTATGTCTGATGAAATTCAATACATAGAAGATACTTTTGTAATGTACTTATAAATTACTTCACCATCTAAATATATTGATGCAGCATCACCTTGATGGCTTGAAGCTACCGGTGGGGGTCTTCCCTAGGAGATATGACATCCAATTGTTTAAAGAAATAGTATACCCCTCTCTCAAACGCCGGCAACGCATCTACTATAATCGCTGTCCATGGGCTCGTAGGCATGTAATCTCGTTTGCCCCCTATTCTATAAAAAAAACAATTATAGACTTTTCAGAATATTCTAAATATAATATGCAGAAATTAATGTTCATTGATATCGGCTGGCTTGCGTATTCGGTGTTTTCGATAACGTGATTGATTTGGTAGTGATATGAATTACTTTACTTGAAATCTCTTGTTTGCAGCTCCCGATATTGTGCAAGAAGATAGCCCAACCGTTGTCATTGATGAAGAGGAACTGAGTATGAAGCGTAAGTACTAAGATTATATATTATGTATTGTACAGCCCCGCAAATTATTTGAATACAATATATTTAGATAATTGGGTCGTTACACTTATGTTAGTGTTAAATATAATAATATATTTAACACTATTATTTATAATAATAAGCCAATTATGCCAACCAAAAGTTTTAATACATGCGTCTTACTGAGACATCATGGAACATTACGATTTAGCCTAACTTAAGACTAATAAGTAATTTAGGTCTTAAACTTAATTTACTAAAAAGAATATTTAACATAATAAAGTGTCCAATAACACTACGATACTTAAGGGGAAGACACTTAAGATTAACGTGCATTCACACTAATTCAAATAGTTTTGTCTATTTCAATCTTCTCACTAAGCTCCGTGGTATCAAGAAGTTAAATAGTTTCCACATTCACGCGATGGTGGAGTCTTTACTCGTACTCGTCGGCTCCAGCAATGTTTTTGATTATTGTGGTGACGTTCTTTACATTAAGGTCCCGATGGAGGTCGTTATTGCGAATGGATATACCAGGGAACATTAGTTAATCCCCTCAGCACTTTGTTTTGGAATCTTCATGTTTACCAAAAATAAAGTCCTCTTTCCCCACGTTACATTATGCATCATAAAATAATTTCAGACTTTGGTGCTCTCCTAACTGGTCGATCTCCTCTCTGCATTCGGCGTGATGACATGACTGGTGTACCCGTAGCTGCTGGAGTGGCCACAGCTCGGTTTACTTTCCGACGACGTCATCTCTTCTGGTCTGTAATTTTGGGGCCATCGATGGTTACTCGGCCGAGAGCACTTGCCTTCTTGGATCGAGGAGGTCGGATGCTTCTAGAACATCCGCTAAAAAAGTTTCAAGGCATACACGCTACGTATGAAGAAAAAACTGATAAGGTTAGTAGTATATGTCAATAATCCTAAACATATATTAGTTTTAGTTGACTCTTTGAGAGCAGCTATTTTTATAGAACAGGGGTCATCTGATGTTAAGTGATACTACCGCCCATGGACACTCTCAATGCCAAAAGGGGTCGCGAGTGCATTGCCGGCCTTGGTACGCTCTTTTCTTGAAGGGCCCCACATAGTGGTAGTGCACGGCAGAAATTGCCTTAAAAAACACTTAATAAAACTACAAAATAATCTCATAGCTTTTTTAGCATAGTTACTGAGTACCAGATAATTTTTAACTAGTAATCTAGTTAAGACAGGAAATCCTCAGACTATATGAACAACCAATCAGTAAACTCCCACACTGATGCAATAATTTATAACAGCTCTGTGGAGTCTGGCGCAGAGTGCCGCGGGAGTACAAACGTTTGCTCCGCGAAGGCTCTTTGTATGTTGCCCTTATATGGGGTGATGAGCGCAATAACTCCATGGATACAGCGCTAAGTGGAAGGATTAGCAGGTAAGCATTACGTTTAGTTATTTTTATGTATGTCTTTAGTTAGTCTAGGTAATTTGTTAATTCACAAACAAAAAAGTAAATTTAAGGTTTTCCCGTTCAAGGTCCACTCTTGATATTTATGAGAATTGATATATATCTTCAGTGTCATGAAAGTATGTTTTTATGGTGCTATTACCACAATGTTAACATTACTCTAATGTTAAGTGATGCCATCACACATATACCAAAGGGCTTATGTAATCCGTCCTAATACGTCTTAAAAGAATGCATGTCCCATTCGAGGTTCGAAATGCTACGTATTTACAGATCCCATAACACGGTAGATTGGTTCCGCGTTATAGAAAAGGGTTTAAGGTGTATTCTCGCATAACGCGCTTTTACGACCCCATATAACGCGTTTTTATACACGTTTAACTTTTCTCGTTAAAGGGGATTTAAATCGAATATTAAGTTATGAACGAAATAAGTTCGTACAAATCATTATAAATGTCATAGTCCAGAAATATAACGTGTGATATCCCCGCGTTAATAGGGTAATACCCGTGCAATACGAGGAACTGAAATCGCGTCATAACCTTCATAACCTTGATGGTTGGAAGTCTTCCACAGTCCGCTTTACAAGATACGTTCTTTGCTTTAGCGAGCTACGGAATCGACTCCCTGTGGAGAACTTCACTCTCTCCCTTTTCTTCGACAAAAACGCTGCACATCTTCGTGACGTTCCGTAGAAATTTTACCCTCATCGAGCTTCAGTTTCACTTCAAATAAACGAAAATGCGTTATAAAAGTCCCGTGTTATTAGGGGATTTATTCAGCTAATAAAAAGAGTGTCGTCATCACCATTCATACGGCAATATCTGTTCATAACCATGTAATCTCCAATAAAGTCAATCAGAGCGTTTATAGACGGATCCGATTCAAAGTGAAATGAACGGTATATCTATGCAGAGCTTGTAACAAACTCGAGAGCATAATCGTAAAATTCAGTTTATATGAGCTTTCGTGAAATGCAGCTTTATATGCAGTGCAGTTACCAATGCATGTATGTCACATTCACACTTCGCCGACAAGAAAGTTAAGTTTATGGTGCTGTGGCGGAATTTATTCTTCCGCAATACAAATGATGCATTTAAATAATACATTTTAAATACCTTTTTTTATATTTTACTATGCTGATTTTACCTACGAATCGTGGCAATTACATCTTAAATTAAATGTATATATAAAAATTCGTTTGTATAAGTATATAATATAACATAATAATATGTTAGATTTGTGAATCCTTTTAAGTAAAAAATACCTGTATTAGCGTTCCCAGCTCTTCCATAACAAACTTAATTCCATAAAATTTTTTTCAATTTAGTTTTTTTTAAAACAGTTTACAATATCTTTTTTTTTGACAAAAACCATTATGAATGTGTGGCTATATGCTAGGTCTCAGTAGAATCTCCAACTCTGCGTAAGGTGCGTTCAGTAGCCAGCCGTTTAAAGTTTTGTAATAATTCTTTTAGGCAAAATAATGGCTTAGAATTTAATCACAATAGATTGAAAATTTTACTTATTTATGTAATATATATTTTTTGCCCGCAATTTTTTTTAAATATAGACGTTAAGGCTACTCTATATTACTCTATATTTTCAATAATATGGTGAATACTATATACGTACTATATACTACCTGCAATGTACCAATTTCTCTGTAACGTAGTGGGCATGAACGGGCGCCAAAAACAAACTCAATTGTATAACAATGACGATTGTAAATTAGATCCAAATCGGATTTCTATGCAAAAGAAATAACCTTGTCCCAAGGATTTAGTAGCCTTATTGTTCGAATTAAATTAACCGTATGATTAATAACGGAAACTCACATGGCTTCATTAGTAGTGAGTCTAGACGAAGTGGTTTGTTTTAACTAGTATTTACATCTGTGGAAAACCACTGAAGCGGTTCATGACTTAGCAATTATTGTACTATTACTGATTGTTAGATTTTAAATACGTATTTATAGTTGATAAAAAATCACGAATAAAGCTGTCTGAAGCAGCAATGATATACTACCTCCAATTGTCTAAAGAAAGAGTATACTCCTCTCTCAAAGACCGGCAACGTACCCTCCAAAAATGGGTGTCCATGAGCTGCGGTGACTGCCCTTTTAGGCGTCTCGTACGCTCGTTTGCCCCTCTATACTATAAAAAAAAGTCTTACCGTACTGTCTAGCTTAGAAGTCAAGTTTTGTTGCTGATGTGATGATACACGTTGAATTTTAAATCTCTTTCAGCTTTTGAAGTCGGTTCAAAAGTAACAAATCGGTATTGTAACAGTGTAATTAGACTGACGTAGTATTTATGTTAGAAAAATAAGAAAATCGTTGAAATGTTTTAGGCTAAGTCATAAACTTTTAATCCAATATAAATAAACTAATTTCGTAAAATCCCTATACAATAGTGTTCTATTCAAACTGCCGAAATAATAAATAATAATATAAGCCTGTTATTTCAGATACTTTACATATAAATACAGTTATGTTTCTATATCATTACTTCTAAAGATATCTGTGTGCCCTTTTTTGGCAAAGGTCTCCACTAAATTCCAGTCTATCCACCTTCTAAATTTTCTTCCTCTTTTGCGTTTATTGTACCATGGGCAGCTTAATACTTTCTTGCTCCACTTTTCTGTTTCTCTTACCATGTGCCCCGCCCATTTCCACTTATGTCTATTTATTTATGTAATGATCTGAAATATTGTTATTTAATTACTTTAAGCGGCATTTATTCTTTCCTACCTTTTAACAACGCAACTTTTACAATTTCAGATATCCAGCACTTGCAACAGAGATGTTTACATCTCTATTGGAGCCAGAACATGCCCCAGCATCAATCGGTAACGGAGCTTGTGATGATTACCGTGTACCGGGACAGGAAGAAGGCTGGTGGGGTGGGACAGCAGTGGTGACGGGTGCGGCTGGAGCAGCCCCCAGCTTGCACCTGGCTATAGTTTTTAATGGCGTGTTCAAGCCTGCCTCTAGAGAACAGACCATCAAAGTAATGCTGACACTACCAGAGAAGAATCAGACTATTATTGACGAGGTAAGTTTTTACGTAATTTATATTTGTTTCATATTTTGAACATTTTATTATTTGGATTTTTTTAAGTCTCAGGTACGAAATATTTAATTAGTATTTAATATTAAACGAGCATATAATTATTTTTTACAAGCTTCATTGCTTTTTCATTCTAGTTAGATAAATATTAAGTATACATTTTATTGGTATTTTTGCCTTATTTCTTAGAAATATTTGATTCATTTACTTGACCCTATCTTAAGCAATACGTTCATGTTTTGCTTAAATTGTTTTTATTGCTATGTAATTGTTATCGTATATATGGACTATCAATTATAATAATTCCATACATTTAATAACGCCTGGTGAAATTTACTAAGAAAATTGTTGATAGGGTTTTTTTATTTCGTCACGCTTCTTTAGGTTACGAGTCTAACTAGTAAAGTAGTATCAACATCAACTTCAATGTTACAACCCTTATATATAAGATATATATGAGTTAAGTTAAAAGTTTTTTACTATATATATATATCAGTGGCGCTACAACAATTTTTTTTAGGTCTGGGCCTCAGGTTTTTATATCTGTTTCATGATCATTTGTAAATCTAATAGACAAGTAGGCGATCACTCTCCTGTGCTTGACACACTGAAAGGCCATTGGTGCACAGCCGGGCCTCGAACCTACGACCTCAGGGATGAGAGTCGCACGCTGAAGCCATTAAGCCAACACTGCTCACTTTTTACTATATTTTTCACAAAACGTTTTTGAAAATAAACTTATTTTAAATTGAACTTACAGAGAGAATATAATCTAACTTAACTTATTATAAACTTCATTGCAATTAATCCAATGTTTAGCAGAGCGATGTCATATAACAGATACGTATTCCATTGAATTGGTTTTGTTTGCCACAGGTTCACAAGATGAGTAAACCCAGCTATGACTTTAACATTATCGAAGTATCTACACCTGTATCAGCTGCGGAACTAAGATCCCTAGCCAGAGGCAGGCTTCTGCTCTCCGTTGAAGCCATCTCTACTCCAGAGAGACGACTGACTGGAGTTGTCCGCCAAAGAGCAGCTTGCGAGGTCTTCCATGCGCCTTTAATGGCTGAGCGGCTCTCGGCTGCCACCATACCTGAAGGGCTGGCTCTTTTGTATATTGACAAGGAGGGGTCACTGGTTTATGATATACAGGTAATTATGACTAAGACATAACTATAAGAATCGTCAACAACCAGTCACTTTCCGAGAGGCTTTATCTGCATCGATGCATCTTCTACCGCATTTACCTCGGAGAGTATTGAGAGGAGTTGTTCGAATTATCGAGCCCTCTGGCAATGTCAGTGTTACATAAAAAAAGATCACCGGTTTCTGGAAAAGATCCCGGTTTCGTAAGTACTGGCGCTACAACCTACATAGGTCTTGGTTGCAGATTTCTGTATCTGTTTTGTAATCATTTGTTGATAGTAATGAATAACAATTTTTAACAATATTTTACCGAAAAAAAATGGTTTTATTATCAAATGTGTGAAAGTTATGTCAATAAGAGACAATACTAGTAATCAGCCATCTGTACAGGCTTTCGATGTTTCCGTCAAAGACGGCTTTCGCGAAAAAAAAGACCCTTTGATGCAACTCGTGATTCTATTGCGCGACCTCTGAGTTGAGAGGTGAACTCTTAAGCTACTAAGCCAACGCAGCCTAATCTTAGTTAATACTAGATTTTAATTGTATTTTATTTTTTTACTTATACATTATATACATAGAAATTACATAATAATTTATTTTATATGGAACTGAAATATTATTGTTATTTCGAATAATAACAGCGAAATTAATTAAAACCTTACATTATAACCTACATAGTTAACAATAATAATAATATACTTTTCCAGGTTGACAATTTGAGTATAGCTGATCCAAAGATAACGTTGGTGGAAGAGCAGGGCAAGAGACACTCGCAAGTGGAAATTCTGGATACAAGAATGGGAGTGCTGGCCAGGCCCAGTGCGAGGATTTTCCCCCCGCTCTATGAAGACCAGCTCGCTGTACATATAGGATCTGATGCAGGTAAATTATATTAGGTCGAAGATATACAAGAAAGAGAGACAGAAAATCATGGATAGATCGGAATTGGAAACTTTACCCGTGAAGGGGTTCCCATCAATGGTGAAGGAAGTTACGATGTAAGGGTAACAATAAAAAAATATTCACTTATAATACCACAAGAGGTTCTCAAGGTTCACACAAACAAAAACACTCACTATAAAATTAAAAAAATGAGGACGTAAGTACTAAAAAAAGGTGATAAAAAAACATGTCCAACACAATCCGAGTGAAACAAAGATACGAATATACGAAACTAAAATTATGTATTTCCAACAACATTAGCATATGTGTATTTATACAAATAACATCCAAAGAACTTTTTGGTTTAAACACCAAAAGTTATGTAACGTCTCCAAAAAGGTTTTAATGTCGATAGGTCCGCCGCTGCTGCGAGGTCGCTTATTGTCCCGCTCGTTGCCGGACGCGGCCGGGGCCGGTCCAGCCCTCTTGAAGCGGACGGACGCTCGACTCGCCCCTTCCACTATCGTCGCGGGTCTCGCCTGGGTCTCTGTTGATGCGTTGTGTGGAATTAATTATGAAGTAAGTTTTTAGAGGCTGCATTTACAAGAAATTTCAATATCATGGAGAGATTTCAGAGTTGTTCGGACTAATACCTGCAGTTGAGTTTCATCATCGGACGTCGAGGCGGAATACAAAATACCATCCGTATCACCTTGACGTCCGTCGTTCCTCAACTTAGCGTTTTTTAAGGCAATTTCTGCCGCGCCCCACCACTATGTGGAACCGGCTGCCCTCTGAAGTATTTCCGAACCAATTCGACTTAGGGTCCTTCAAGAAAAGAACGTGCCAATTCTTAAAAAACCGGCAGCGCACTTGCGAGCTTTCTGGCAGTGCGAGTGTCCATGGGCAGCGGTATCACATAACGTCAGGTGAGCCTCCTGCCGGTCTGCCTCCTGTAACATTAAAAAAAATCAGCGTAAAAATGTTAATAGCATAAAATCATTAGGACCCAGTCAGGGTTTGAACCCGTGACTTCATCGTTGTGATCGGTGCTCTCAAGCACTAGATTAAATATGCTCGCCAACTTCTTCAAGTGGTACGATTTCAGGTTACAATAAACGGTTACAACGGTGGCTGGTCGTCGTGGCTGGAGAGTCACGCTCTCGGATCCTCCGCTCCGAGGGCTCTGGCGGGACAAGAAGGTTCAGTGCTGGAGCCGACTCCAGCGGAACTGTCAGCGTTGCACGCAGGCGCTGCGTATCTCAACGTACGCGCTGCGGAGAACGGCACTGAGTTTCTGCGCACGCGACTACCACAGGTTAGTTATAGGATATCGCGTTGTAGGAGTATTCTCGTAAAACCATTTTTTTAACCATTCAAAAACTAGGTACCAGAATTTATTAAAGTTATTTAGTTGAATTGTATAACAACACAATTGAAACAGGTGCCGTTTGCAACCGCAACGCAAAACTAATTATGGACTTGACATATCATTATAAATTTCACTTAAGATATCTCCGCGGTGTAGGGGGGAAATACCGCGTTGTACGGGGGACGGAAATCGCGTTATAGGAAAAGGCAAGAACAAGCTGCAGGAATACTAAAAATCAAATTAATAAAACAAATCTAATTGATTGAAAAATAAATAAATAATTAGCATTACACTATTAAATAAGATTTTTGTTTAACGCTGCTAGAGAATGGAAAGAAGGTAAGGATACTAAATTTTCTAAATTTTTTATATAATAAATGATTGTAAATAAATTTGCACTCTGCCGTGGCTGAAATACCCAGAAGAACTTGTTTTGGTTGATCTAAAAATTATTTAAAATCCGAAAATATGTCTGCCATTACCATTGGAGGATTACGATTAACAAAAATAATCTAGAAAATGTTGTCAGAATATATAAATATTTTTTTTTGGGTTTCATATGCAAAATAAATAGCTATATTATATTACAAACCACAATTTCCAGATAAGTGTGCCACCATCCTGTCTCCCCTCGGTGCCGTACGTCGTAGACAATGAGCTCAGCCCCAACTACCCTCCGACGCACGTCAACGTGCCTCCAGACAACTCCTTGTCCAACACCGCGTCGTGCTTCTACGCGGGTCGCTCTTATGAAGATGGCGCTCAGTGGATGGCCACCGAGGTTGGTCAAAGTTCAATAAAAATATCTATCTACAATAATAAAAATTAGGGGTTGTAAGTATTTTTGTATGCTGTATTATAAAAAAATATAAACAAAAAAAATGGCTAAAAGATAAAAATAAATTTTTTAAGGTGGACACCCCTTATCACTTAGGGGTTTGAAAGATAGATAGTAACCGATTCTCAGACTTACTGCATAAAAAAAATCATAAGAATCGGTCGAGTCGTTTCGGATGAGTATGGGAACGAACATTGTGACACGAGAATTTTATATTATTTTGACAGTGTTTGTTTAGTTGATCACAATAACCTAAGGAACACTCGGTTCGATTTGAAATTATGTTTTTGTGTTGAATAACAATTTAGCCATACACTACAATCGAAATATTAAATTAATATATTTTTTTTATTTACTTAGCCCTAACCTTCAAAGACACGTGTATAAATTTTACAACTGTCGTATTTTTTGTTTGTGAGAGTAATTTGAGTGAAGGACTTTTGTTTTTTCAAAAAATGGATAAAAAGGAATATCGTGTAACAAAACATTGCTTGTTGGCGATAAAAAATACTATTACAGCCAAGGCTCGGGTTGATAAACATCAAATACAACACAACATTATTCGGACTCTGTATTAGGAAAATCATCATTGAGTTGTTAGCCTATGAACATATCGTATCGTATGGGAAAAGGGACTTGATATGTTGTTCAGAATATTTCAGGCTTCGTGAGAAATCATTGTTAATATGCATTTTAACAAAATTGATTGTATTTATTTCCAACACACAAATATACACTATTTACAATATTCTTAACCTACAATAATAATCAAAATATATAATAAAAAAATAAAAAATAACACATTTATGTATATTTATTATTGATTTTCAGTCCTGCCACATGTGCGGGTGTGTCCATGGCGCCCTTCGCTGTGACCCCGTCCGCTGTCCCGTCGTGGAGTGCGCCGCCCCCACGATTCAGCCGCCAGGACAGTGCTGCCCCATCTGTACAAGTAAGCAGCTCATTATTCATATTAATGAGTTCAACTTAAGATGTCAAAGCGGTACTTACATACTTATGTAATCAATTATAAGCAACGTTTGGAAGTGCATGATTGATTACATAACATGTTTGTTTACTGTTTTGTTTATAAAATAAATAGATAATAAATTTGTAGTGTATGTATTTATATTTTATCACAGAAGAATTTGTTTTTGTATTTCTATTTATTTTTAAGCTTACTATAAAGCTATATTAAAATTAACAATATCGTCCCTGTGATTAGCCGTAATACTCGTACTGTCAGCTTTTCTTAGCTGTTTTTGAGATTCAATGTCGGACCTCGAGGCAGAATACGAAACACCACCCGTTTCACCTCGACGTCCGTCGTTCCACAACTGAGCGTTTTTTAAGGCAATATTGCCGCGCACCACCACTATGTGGAACCACCTGCCCACTGAAGTATTTCCGAACCAATTCGACTTAGGGTCCTTCAAGAAAAGAGCGTACCAGTTCCTACTCGGGAGCCATCTGGCAACGTTAGTGTTCATGGGCGTTATCACTTAACATCAGATGAGCCTTCCGCCCATATGCCCCCTAATTTATAAAAATACTAAATAATAAAATAAAAATAAAAATAAACTAATTTCCGATTATTTAATTCAGACTCGACAACCGCCGTATGGAACGAATCGCACGGGTGTCACCTCGCGGGGCAGTACCACGCCCCAGGCTCCTCCTGGCATCCGTACTTGGTACCGGGAGGTTATGACACGTGCGCTGTCTGCACTTGCGAGTTTTCCACGCGACAAGTGAAGTGCCCCCGCGTCAAATGCCCTCTCTTGAAGTGCGCTGAGAAAGACGCTTATCGACCCGACAAGAAGTCTTGTTGCAGAGTTTGTCCAGTGGTAAGAAAGAAAGAAACATTTATTGATATACCTCACCTTAAACATAAAATGCAGGAACATAAGTTATTAGACAAGACGCGGCCTTATGGCTAACAAGCGATTTCTTTCAAGCAAACCTATTATGAAGAAATACTACTCAGGGTAGTAAAAGTGCGTAAATAATAAACTCATATTTTTTTGTTCTCTCATATTTATTTATGGTTTAATTTCTTTTAATCTAACAATTCCAGGACACTAATAAATTTTTAAAATTAAATTCAATTTTTTTTCAAAATTAAAATAATTTGTAACATTGTCTTCAGGTAAAAGAAAAGAAGTCTGACGAAGACACGTTGAAGGATCAAGGCACTCCGCGGACAGCGGAGGAAATATTGGCTGAAGGAGGATGCAAGTTCCCAGATGGGCCTTTACCCAACGGGAAGGAGGTCCATCCCTCCATACACTCGCATGGAGAACAGAGATGTGTCACCTGCCGTTGCAAGGTAACCAACGACGTTTAAAGCCATAAAATCATCTCTTTTCATCGCAGCGTATACGCAATTTCAAAGAAAGAGACGAAATATTGTTTAGGTTTCAATTCAATTAATCAAAATCTTTCTATATATAATTCTACAGTAGGTGTGTATGTATTTGTCACGGAATTCCTCTTACACGGCTGGACCGATTTGAATGAATTTTTTTGTTCTATGTTCAGGGAATGCTTATAATCCTAGCATTCCCTGACATATATAAATATAATTCATGGTAAAATTTTGGTAGATTTTCGTTGCTTAAATTAAATAAATGATGGTTTCAGGATGGCGAAGTGACCTGCGTACGTAAGCGTTGCAACAGAGCCGCGTGCGCACGAAGACGACGCGGCGACGCCTGTTGCGCTTGCACTCGGCACCGCCGCCAACGCGCCCCACGTCCGCCCAGCTGAGCGCGTAAAGCCCAACCGAGCTCAGCCGAGCGTCCAACTGGCGGAGCTCAGCCGAGCAACCAGAGCTGAGCGTCGTCGTAGTGACCGGCTTTCTGCGCCGAATACCTAGGCTGGGCCAAAGTGCTTATTTTAGACTGTTGCGCTCTGAGCGCTATAGACTGACTGTGCTTTACTCCCTACAAACATCTGATCTGTGTGATTCGTTTAGTGTCCTTTAGTGTATAAGCTGTTGGAATTCTGCATATGCAGTTTAACGGCCCGTTTAAACACCGGGTTAACCACCGTTTAAATACGTAACAAATTTGTAATAATTATAGACGGAAACGTCAAATGTATTTTAAAACAAAATAAATAAATAATCATAATATCAACATTAATAAATAATTAGGCAAATTTAGAAGCTTAGAAATCCTCAAATATTTGAAGTTCAAATTCTACTTATAGTCAGAAGTTTGTAGGAAGTGAAGTTTAAACACTTATTCGAGGTTATAGGACGTTGCCGGCTTAGCGCATATTACCATTTCTACAGCCACTAAGTTTTAACTTAAGACGTTAACCCCTAGTTCCTCGTGCTGACGGTTTTCACTGTAATAACCGGCCGTTAAAGTGAACGGGGGTTAACAGCTGATTTACTATGCAGGTTACGTTAAATAGCTTAAGTTCAAAGACTGATTTATACACGGTTAGCTATCCTTATATTTAGGTGTTTCCGGTAAAGTGTGTTTTGTTCATCACTGATTTAAACAAAATTTGGAATCATAAAAGCTCTATTGTTTTTGTTGTTCATTATAAGAGCTAAATTATCACTACAATTATTTCATATTCACCATATACGTATGTCAAAACGTATAGATATACTAAATGATAATCTTTATAGACACCGTAAAATTCACTCTTTTGACGTCTAATGTCAAAAAATCATACTCAGTTAATCACTTAGAATAACCCTGCTGACCGGTAAATAATGTGTAGTAATCCAAATGTCTGCTATTCCACTTAGCGCGAATTTTACGATAATTTAATGTAATATCAAACTTATCTTAAATAAATTCGTCAAATTTACGATTTCTTTGTAAAATTTTACCATAACTTCGTTAAATTTTACGATAAATTCGTTATAACGTTTAATATGATTTTCAATTCATAGATTTCACGTAACATTCGTGCTAAAGGAATCTGAAAGAAACCCTTTCGTTTGGTCCGTTGTAACCCTTAAGTCGGCAATTGAGAGCGTCTTAGCGTAAGATGCGGCAGTCGGCCGCGCACTCGACTCATTGCCTCCAGGCGATTTACTTCCCACCGGTATTTAATTGGTTCATGCAGAAAATTATAGGCGCACGCAAGGCTCCAACAGATTGATGGACATAACTTTATACTGCTAACTAAATTTCTTATACGCAATACAAACTAATAATTAAATTAAATTAAATATTCAGGAATATGCTAAATATTTACAGATATTATTACAAAAATAACCTTTGTAAAATTACAAAAATAACCTAAAATTTCAAAATATCAGAAGATCAGTCTTCTATGCCTGCAATTTGGTTGATTTTTGGGTCTAATGCGCATTGCACTTTAAAAAACCAAATTTGACCTACAAGGTCAACAATTAGTACTGAAGATTATAAAAAAAAATTAAATAATCCAAACGAATACTATCGGCCTATATAGACTAGATATTGAAGTTACCCCATGTTTGTAAAAACAGACATCGTAACCATGGTGACAGACTGTCAATGTCAGTGAACGTTTTAAAGAAACTGGCTTAGACTTTAGATTCACAATACAGATTAAAAAATGTCGCCAACTTAAATTTCAGCTTTTCGTTGGTATTTTTCTTAAATAACAAGCATTATATATATAGTTTTAGTTCCATCAATTTCTGGGGCGTCTTGTTCAGCAAACAGAGCGCGGTCGATGTATAGATGTGCCATATTTTCTTTATGTAAATAATAAATTATTCTATATATTATTTAAGAATCTTGTGTATAACTTTCGACATCCAATCGATGTAGGCTTTATTGGAATCATCACAATTGGATTCAACTTGACAAACTCGAAGCAATCCTCGAATTGTGGAGCCATTTTTGTTCAGATCCAAGTAATTTATTGCGCATTTGCTTACTGTGTACGCAGTCGTTTTGCTAAAATATTACGTTATTTAATCCATCTGTGTTAGGGTTTCAGAGACGAGTAAGCTAAGTATGACTCCGGAATGTCAGTGGTGAAATGAGTCGTACTCGGCGCTGTCTCGATTGTGTCACCCTTAGCGTCTTTAAGTATTAATGAATGTTGGCCAGAGCTTGTAAATAGTTTTAATTGGAATTAAGATATACTTAAGTTTTATGTTTAAGCAAGCTAGTCGAATATGTTGATGTGATGGAATCGTCTGTCGTTAGATTACGCCTTTACGGCATTATTATTAAGACATTGCCAAAAAATTTTAAATTTTTTTCTATGTCGTGTTTGTGGGATCTAGTCCGTCGAAATTATGTGGTCACGTGGTCACTTGTGTATTGTAGGATACCGATCAGACATGAGTTATTTGGTGTTATTTTAATTGTCTAACACGTAGAGTAACCCCAGGGCTTGCGAATAACATAACTAATGTCCTAATAGGGTTCGATATTGTGCTTGTATCGCATTGTTTTTATATTATAGTTAAAATCTTCCTCTAGGTGTATTATGGGAAGAGATATGTTATACAATTTTCGGCTTCTGTGTTAAATATACATATCAGGTGTAAACTGCATAATGGCTGTTAAAACGGCTCGATATATATCCAACATTGTTTTACTATGAAATAAATTGTCCAATACAAAATTTTCTTTTATTTCCGATTACAACAATTCCATCAACAATTCTTGCAACTGCCATTTAAGAATTTATGATATTGAAGGCAAAATATTCAGTGCAAATGCGGGTTGATTTTTTCTTATAAATCAAACGGGCAGGAGGCGCGCTTGATGTTCATTGACACTAAAGCCCCGTATTCATGGTAAACATTTGTTTAGCAACAGTTGCTAAACATTGTTGGTGAGCGGCGAGAATGTTGCTAGCAACTATGTTTAAATCAATACAGGTTGTCCACACGCCAGTCTGCGTTAAAATGTTGCCCGAGGAGGTAGTGTTGTTGTGTTCTCTGTATCAGATGTATAGAATCTCTAATAAAAAAAAGGGGAAAAAGATGGTGGATTCGAAATTATCTTTTGCAAAGAGAAAATTTGATGAGTGACCTCAGAATGACAGATGGATCATTTTGTAACTTTACGAGAATGTCGAAAAGTGATTTCGAACATCTTCTAGAAATGATTGGTCCATCAATAGCCAAAAGGGAAACAAATATTCGTCAGCCAGTTTCACCTCAAACGAGGCTGGCTATTACATTACGGTATCTTGCAACTGGAGATTCATACAGTTCTCTTTCATACACATTCAAAGTATCAAAACAATTGATTAGCAAAATTATACCAGATGTATGTCAAGAACTAATTAACTCACTAGCAGGATATGTCAAGGTACAAGAACACTATTTGTGTAATCAAGTATTTTATTAATTAAAAAACACAAAAAAAAAACAGTGTATGCTATTGCGTTGATTCATCACTGAGATAGTTAACTAAGTTTAGTATAGCCGAATCTTCTGTTTCGTCTCGTAATGCATCTAGTCTATTTGTTTCGTGTCTCTCAATTTCCCTTATTTCAGTTTCCTGAACATTATTTGGTGTTGATGATGGATGAGAAGATGCCGTTTGATATCCATATGTATTATATCGTCCCATTTTTTTTGGGTATATTTAGGACTTGAGAAATTTCTTCGAATGCATCGTTCTTTTTGTTTCTATCTTTGTATTGTTTTATAGAACAATCCCATAATAATGGTTTTGATTGAAATAATTCTATTAATTGCATTATTTTATCATTGCTCCACACTACTGCCATGTTTATAAACTGTTGCAAACTCGTCCACACACGTCAACAATTGTCGCTAAACTGATGTTTACGCTTGTCGGGCGAGAGCTTGTCAACATGATGCTGTCAACTCTGCAACACGCAGTGTTGCCAGCAACATGTTGACAGCAACTCCGCAACACGTTGATTCAACTTTGTTGCTCAACAAATGTTTCCCATGAATACGGGGCTTAAAGCTGTCTACACACCGAAGCCGCCGGCCCGCCGGCAAGGCCGGCGGCCTTAGTTTTAACGATGTGGCCGGCGGCTTGCGCCCGCGCGATCTTCCCCGCGGCACGCCCCTCTCCGCTCTTCACCACCGGTTGCCCACCGGCTTTTAAGAAATAGTGACGCGTCAGTGTTTTTATCGACTAAACATTATGGAATACGTTAATGAAGTGGAGAGAAAAATAAAAAATTTAACAAGTCACTAGCAAGCACTTGGCAATCACTAATTGTGAACACTGCATGCCGTGACTGTGTCGTGCCGCCGGGAAAATTGTCAGGCTCGCAACTTCTAAATCCGCCGGGTTCACCCGCCGGCTGCGGTGTGTAGACAGCTTTAGGCTGCTTCAAAATGAACCTAACGCGAGAAAATTTTCGGTCAATGATTTATAATGACTTTCGTTGTGGGCTTACTCAACAACAAAGCTATGATAGGCTGCGATTAGCATTTAATGAAGCCCCATCTCGTGCCACTATTTACAATTAGTTTAACGAGTTTAAGCGTGGACGTAGAAATTCTCAAAAACAGCGGCGTGGCAGGGGCGCGAGGGCGGGTAACGAGCGGTGCAATCGCCCGCTCCCGCGCCGCAGCCGCCGCCGCCCCGCTGCCCGCAAAATTCGAGGCAGCAGCCTTACACTGCTAGAAGGCTCGCCAGTGTGTCGCCAGCCTTTTGAGAATTGATACGCCCTTTATTTGAAGGACCCTAAAGCTGTCTACACACCGCAGCCGCCGGCCCGCCGGCTTGAACCCGGCGGGTTAATGTCGGCGGGTGAACCCGGCGGCTTTAGAAGTTGCGAGCCTGACAATTTTCCCGGCGGCACGACATACAGTCGCGGCATGCAGTGTTCACAATTAGTGATTGCCAAGTTCTTGCTAGTGACTTGTTAAATTTTTTATTTTTCTCTCCACTTCATTAACGTATTCCATAATGTTTAGTCGATAAAAACACTGACGCGTCACTATTTCTTAAAAGCCGGTGGGCAACCGGTGGTGAAGAGCGGAGAGGGGCGTGCCGCGGGGAAGATCGCGCGGGCGCAAACCGCCGGCCTTGCCCGCCGGGTTTATGCCGGCGGGCCGGCGGCTGCGGTGTGTAGACAACTTATGACGAATTGGTCCGTAATTTATACTTTAGTGGACAACTGGTTTCTCATAGTCGTGGTGAGCGCCAAAAAGTGCCTTAAATAACGCCTAGTTGTCAACGACTGAGGTCGATACTCTTAATGTAAGAGGGCTCGCGAGTGCGTTGCCGACCTTTTAAGATTTTAGTTAGTATACTTTTTTCTTGAAGGACCCTGAGTCGAAGCGGTTCGGAATGTGATAAATATACTATCACATAGCTAATTATAATACATTTTATTACATTGAATTATGTATGAAACTACTTGATCTTGCTATGGACCCAAAAAAAAATCTTAAAGTTTGCAGCATTTGTTCGTTGCAGAAAAAATTTACTTTAAAATTCGCATTTTAAAATAGCGAATGTAAATTTTCTTCCATAAGATTGCGTGCAATTAACATGCAAACCCGTACTTGTGAAATGTTAGCGTCAAAAAGACCTTGCATTTAATATATGACGGCTCGCATGCAAATGAAAAACGTGCAAGAAAACATGAACCTATAATGCACTGAAATGAATTATATAAATGTGAATGCATTTGCCGAGATTAATTGAAGGACTTCTTAAGATATCTAGTATTATTGGTAATCGGCCAAGCACTCTTCAAAATGAACCTAACGCGAGAAAATTTTCGGTCAATGATTTATAATGACTTTCGTTGTGGGCTTACTCAACAACAAAGCTATGATAGGCTGCGATTAGCATTTCTTAATGAAGCCCCATCTCGTGCCACTATTTACAATTGGTTTAACGAGTTTAAGCGTGGACGTAGAAATCTCCATGATGATCCGCGTGAAGGACGACCTTTAACAGCGGCTACTGAAGATAACATCAGTGCTGTGCGACGCATAATAGAGGATGATAAGAGAGTGACCTACATAGGCTGCACTAAAAGTATCGGGAATGGAATAATACCTCTGTTCCTGTCATATTTAAGTCTTTTTAATTGAAAACTCCTTTTTTTTAAATCGAATACCATTTTTTTTTTTAAAGATTCTCGGTCTTTTCACAAAGTTTTGTCAAACTTGTTTAGTCGTTGAGAAAATGGAATTGACTCGAGAAAATTCAATCCTGCATATACGCGTACGAACCCGAAACAAAAAACCAGTCACGAGTTTGGGTGTTCGAAAATGAGTTAAAGCCAACGAAAATTGTTCGTTCACGGAGTGTTGCAAAAAAATGGTGGCCACGTTTGTCTCCAAAAGCGGCCATGTTGTGACTATTCCTCTTGAGGGATAAAGAACGGTTAATGCAGAATGGTATGCTAGCATTTGTTTGCCACAGGTCGTTTCTGAACTCCGTAAAGAGAACTGCAACCGCCGCATCATCCTCCATCACGACAATGCGAGTTCTCACACCGCGCACAGAACAAAAGAGTTTTTAGAGCAAGAAAACATAGAATTATTAGACCATCCGCCGTACAGCCCCGACCTAAGCCCTAATGATTTATATACTTTCCCTAAAATAAAGAATAAATTGCGTGGTCAGAGATTTTCATCACCTGAAGAAGCTGTGGACGCCTACAAAACGGCCATTTTGGAGACCCCAACTTCCGAATGGAATGGTTGCTTTAATGATTGGTTCCATCGTATGAAAAATGTGTCAAATTTTGCGGAGAATACTTCGAAAAGCAATAAATACATTTTTAAATAGTAATGTTGTGTCACTTCCTTGATTCCCGAAATTTTCAGTGCCGCTCTCGTGTCAGCAGATACGGGCAAACCTAGGCATTGGTATGAGTCAAGTTCAAAATTATTACACGAACATTTAGGAGTCGGGAAGCTTTGTACCAGATGGATTCACCATACTTTAACCGACGACCAGAAACACCTTCGCATGGACTGGTGTCGCCAAATGTTAGATAAGTTCAACGGCGGTAACTCAAATGCTGTATTTGACATCGTCCTAGGTGATGAAAGCTGGATATATTGCTACGAACCCAAAACTAAAGATAAAATTCGAGGTTCGCTTTACGAGCCCTGAAGACACGGTGAAAGGGTACGAAAATGCCCTAGAAGAGACCCACCCCTAAGGAAGAATAGAGCCACTGCTTTTCTCAGTGGTTCCATCGAATGCAACGATGTGTAGAGAGGAACGGAGATTACTTCGAAAAACAATAAAAGTATTGGCAACTTTCTACATTAAGCCGTTTTTAATTTTCTAAACATTTTTAGTGTTATCTAGGTATCACGGTGCAGTGCAGCCCAGCTCAATACTGTTATACGACCAGTCTTAATATACGGATGTGAGGCTTTCACGCTAACAGTGAAAGAGGAAAAGTAACTACTAATGGCGGAACGCAAAATACTGCTTAAATCCTGGGGCTGATAAGGAGGGAGTACGAGTCATGGCGAGTCCGAAAAAATAGGAAAGTTGGTAGACCAGCCCAACATTAAGGGCAAATACAAGGCGCATTGATATAGGCGTCCCATATAGCTCTATAATCGTAATATAATATGATTTTATAATGTACCTGCTTAGAAAAGATTTTTGGATAGCAAAGGGCTTCTGTTAATTTTATAAAAACAACTTAATTGTATAATACATACAATAATCGTTTTTTTAATATTTTTAGTTGAAATATGGCCATACAAATAATAAATAAATAAAACAGTGGCACCTTAGGTCTGGGCCTCAGATTTCTGTATCTGTTTAATGATCATTTAATCAATTCAATCTAATAGGCAAGTAGGTGATCAGCCTCCTGTGCCTGATACACGCCGTCCACTTTTTGTGTTTTTGGCAAGCCGGTATCCTTACGATGTTTTACCGTCCGAGCGAATGTTTAAATGCGCACATAGAAAGCAAGTCCATTGGTGCACCGCCACGGATCGAACCTACGACCTCAGGGATGAGAGTCGCACGCTGAAGCCACTAGGCCAACACTGCTCTATGGCCATACATAAACTGTAAATAAATAAAATAGCGGTAACCTGGGATCTTATTACAGCAAAACCTACAAACTAAGGTCTTTTGATGTTTTTTATGTTCAGAGTGATTATTATAAGCGTAATGAGGTTTCAATTTAAAAACTGCGTTGAAATAATCCCACATATCAACCATAAAACATTGTTTTCGCCAGTATTGCAGAATTTACAAACAGTTCACTCTATCTGTTTTAATAACAAGTTAATGTTTCGCGGAAATATATTCGGTGTGACCGATATTCCAGTGAAGTTTGGTTACCGGAATCGGGTTAATGTTTAGATTTAGTGCTAATAGGGTGGCTGTAAATTTGCAACAATGTTCTGGTGCTATCGGATGGCACATTTGGCAAGCCCGCCTCGCTCCGGGCGCACGCCACTTGCCAGTACTTAACGCGGTTTCACAATTGTTTTTATGTAAAAACGCAAATATGTTGGCTTGTTTTTGTAGCTTTTATTTAGCGGTTTCTATAACGGACTGAATTGTTTCGCGCCGTTTGTGGCGTTCTTATCTATGACCCAGGATATCTCCGATTGAATAGTACAGCTTGCCTCCTGAGATACGGGAAACAGTGGACCCGTTTCGAATGCATCTGCAAAGTTTCTAGGTAGATGGATTCTAAACCTAAGTCACCTGAGTTAAAGTTATCAGGTGCAAAGCACATCTACGAGTATATATAATAATATAAAGAATAACATTAGTTCGTTAAATTTGATGCGCATGAGCAGTCAGAAAGACGGTTAATGTAGACGATGAGAAAACTGTAGTAGTCTAGTCTTATAGTAGTTTATACGTCTGGGTTAAATATTTTAAAAAATCTTACAGCTCTTCGCGGTCACGATGAAGACTAATTATACGTAGGTGTCCTACACTGTGCCTTTATTTTACAAATATTACATTGGTAGTTTGTGGGTCTTGCATAAATACCATCGCGCTTACCGAGTGAAATTTTAGATTTCAAATTTGTTGTCGACAAAGGAAGTGGCTGTTCCAATATTTTACAGCCAAAAACATTTGGCGTAGCTGATGTCCGGTCCTATCGTGAAAACTCTAATGTAGCTTTAGCTGTTTTAACAGTCACCCCACATTTTTCCTGCTTGCATTCTATGTCGCTATGCGTTCCAAGATTAAACACTGCTGGTTGAACATACGATTTTCAACCCCCATTTTGTCCGGAATGCAACGTAACATTCAACAATTACCGTAAAAAAGTAATAAGCAAGTGCGGGCATGTAGGAAAACTTTCTGAAGTCGATGAGTCTTAGATGCAAAAAATCAACGACGTAAAGGAAAATGATGACACAAAACCAGAAATGTCTCATTCGAGATCGGACAACTTTTACTTGATAATTAATTGTTAACTTAATGACTAAAGGCTTATACCATTTCAAAGGTCCTAATGGATAGTTAAGTGGGAAAACACGATATGTGTATACCTTCACATACATACCTCACTTTCACACCATTACAACATTTTTATTAAATTTTCTTTTAGTAATGAACCTTTTTGTTAATTATGTATTCCAACTTTAGGTATATGTTTAGTTTAATTATTTTTTTGTTGTACATAATTTATATGAGCTGTCAAGGATTACGAAATAAATAAAAAAAAAATTGTGTCAATACATTGAAAAAAATCTTTAATAAAAATAAAATTACCCTAGTAAAGTTTATCATTTGATATTATACATTTATAGTCACAATTTAAAGAAGATTTAAATGATATACCCAAACAATAAAGGTATATACGTCGAAACAGGTGTTAAATTTTGCTCTTCACGACAGTCCGTGTCGCATCAACCATAGCTTGGACAACCTTAGTAACGACATCCTCATTGGAGTTGACTCCCATTATCCCAATTCGTAGTGCCTTTCCTACTGTTGGTCCCAAGCCCCCGAAGATAACGATACCATGTCTGCAAATTAATGATATTAAAACGATTAGTGATTGAAATAAGAATAGAATTAAGCCCCTTCGTGGGAAGTAGGAAAAGTAGTTTGTTAGGACCAGGTACACACAGGGCCGATTCTTTAAATGTAATGCACACCTTAGTAGTTTTTGTGCTTATTTACTGAACTATATTACTGTATTTTGTGATAATAATAAGTCAAGCTATTTATAATTTATCAAACTTATGGGCCAAATACTCGCCCTCGCTATAAAAGCACTTTCACTTTAAAAATTTAATCATCTTCCCCTTGAAAGCGTTACACGGCAGTGATCTATAACTTCTAGGAAGGTGATTAAATATTTTTATAGCCATGGCGTAACAATTTTTTTAATACAACGCGGTGCAACATGCATGCACCCACAGCCGTGTTGGATCCCTCGGTAAATACAGGTAAGTTTCTTTATATGTTTTGAACAATTTTGGATGCTGTCACAGTCATACGTGCTTCAAAGCTATACAAACTTGGTACTGTCAAAAGACCGATTTCGTAAAAAAACTGTGAATCCTTGACCCAACACCGACGTCGTGTATCAGGCACAGGCTGATCACCTACTCACATATTTAAAAAAAATCAAGTAACAGATACGGACATCTGAGCCAAGACCAAATATTGGCACCGCTGTTTTTAATTGTATGTAATACTTCACTTGTGTTTGCGCTCCCGCTATAACGTAGGAGACGTAGGAGACGATTGGCCAGTCTCAATAAAGATTGATTATATGAGGATAATTAAAAAAAAACGTGTGGCACTCGGGGACTGCCACGGTAAAGCTATTGCATAGCATTTTATATCAACTTATGCAATTATAATTATTTATTTATTTTTGAAGTTATACTTCTTTAGGCGCGTTAGGAAAATATTATGAGAGTGAAATTTTACGATGCGCGCGCACCGTGACACAAAATTATCAGTATGGGCGCCGAGCGTGCGCGAGCGAGATGGGAATAAGACAATCTACAAGTAAAAAGGAAAAGAATATGCGTGACGTTAGCAGCTATGCCAAGAATTTTGAATGACCATAATGACATTTGTAGTACCTACCTTTTAAACAAATAAAGGAGTTTTAATTATTTTTTCAAAGAAATTTAGCAATGCTTTTTCACAAAGACGTATTGTTACTTAGTTAAAAGGATATGAAACATACCTAGTTATTAAATTGAATTAATAATATAATAACTCGCGTGACGGTTGCTCGCGGCGCAACTACCTACATAGGCTCCGTGCTGTCTTTCTTTTAAAAAAATACTACTTGTGATCAATGCGACTTTAATAAGTGTTAAAACGTCTAATAATACTACAAAGTAATAGATAAATGTATAGTCAGTGCTCAAGAGAACGAAACACATCAGGATTTTAAAGTGTTTTAACGAGGCTTCAACTGACGTGTCACGCGTTCAACAATCAAACGGATTCATGACACTGTTGCATTATTGTGAGGTTGTGACGTCTAGTGCTAAAAGTGACTAATGTGTCTTCTGAAAAATCTTAGTGCAAAACGAAATACAAATATTAAACAGACATTAGTCATCCATATGAACTGGTTACAAAATTATCTACTATACCAAACATTGGTTCAGTTCATCATAATCTCAGATAGCCACTTATATAAGGGTATCGACTAAGTGAAAAGCGGTCCAAGTTCGAATAATCTGACTTACACTATTTATGGATTTTATTTGCTCCTGCAAAACAAATATTGTAAGACAAATACGTCAAAACGCCCCCATCTGTAAAATTTCTAGAATTAGGAAAATATAAATTTATCAATAATAATTTTAACTTGTTGAAAAATTCATATTTCTTCGGATAGAGGGCACTGATACACTATGGAAGAAATTCATCAAATGTTACTGAACTTACAGCAAGACATCAAACAACAAAAACAAGATATGTTGGACATGAAAGAGGATTTAAAAAACATAATAATTAACAACATTCACGAGAAATTTGCAAACTTTGAATTGAAAAACGAACAATTAGAAAAAACGATTGAAGAACAAAAAGTCAAATTAAATAACTTAGAAAGGCATTCACGACGAAAGAACCTAGTCATGTTCGGAGTAGAAGAGAGTGAGAATACTTATTTTGAATAGAGAATATTATAGTAAATATAATAAACATGTTCTTTGAATTTCAATGTGACAAAAATAACATTGAACTTGTCAGAAGGTTGGGAAAGAAAGGTGATAACATAAGACCGGTTGTTATAACGTTTAACAGCATGAGTTACAAGTTACATATTCTGAAAAACAAATCCTGTCTAGAAAATACTCAGTACTACATTAAGGAGGATTATCCGATTGAAGTCCTTAACAGGCGAAGGAACTCCAAGGCCAGTTACAGAAAGAAAAGGAGAAAGGCTAACTGCTTTTATAAGATACGACAAACTTATAGTATTAAAAGGCACATTTGAAAAAGAGAACCCCACCAAGAAGGTACTAGAAACTAGAAAACAACTACAGCCAAAAACAGAGGAAGAATGGAAAATGGGAAACAAATCTTTTTTGAGAGGAGACCAATTGGTGAATAAAAAACTGCAGGATAACCAGCGCGAAAAAAAGGAAGAGAGATAAAACCGTATCTCCCAACTTGTCTACACAGAAAAAACAGAACACATCTAACAAGTTTGAAAAACACATCGACTAAAACTAACAATGCAGGACAAAAAGAAATATTTGAACCAAACACTACAATATATAGGAAGAGATAGATCGTTTTCGACCTCCGACATTTCAAAAAACTAACAAACACACGCGAGCAACCTATCAAAACAAAAACAACAACAACTAAAACCGGAAAAGCAAAACAAATATGGAAGAAACACATTCTAAAACAACCTAATCAAGAAGCCTTCCCACCACGGTTGTCGCCGCGGGAAGATCAGACCACCACCCTCTAACAAAAAACATAATATATATATAGCATCCCTCAATATTAGGACTTTAAGAACTCCTGAATCACTAAAAAGAGTCGCAAAAGATAGAAAACAGTGGACAGGGTTAGAGGAGGCCTTTGCCAAGAGGCACACCGAACTCCGAGATAACTGGAGTGAAAATATATTAAAGTTCAGATATATAAAATGACAGAGTTTCGGAATTTAAAGGCTATATTATTATTATAATAATATAATAAAATAATAAATAATAATAATTATTACTATTAATTAATAATTGAATAATATACTAAATATTAAATATTGTTAAATTAATAACGCTAAATATTTACTATTATTTATTTAATATTTAAAAAAAATAAAGAAAGCCAAAGAAGTATAACTTCTTACGCGCGTACATAAGTACACGGACCATTTTTTTTATTTATGCAGTATTTGTTTTTCTTTATTATGATTTCAATCTACAACTCTGCCAGACTCAAACTAACAGGCCTATAATATTATAGTCTGTCTAACTCAATCGCGTACCGGCTGCACCGGCCGCGCTTGCGCTACGTCACCGATCTCGTCAGAGAGATGTGAGACGCACGCGTATTGGCCGCACCTATATTACGTCATCGTGTGTTAGGTCTTTTTTCGTTACGGATTTTTTTGATTCGGTTGCTGCGCTCAAAGCCCGCGATAAAAGCTATGCAATAGCTTAAAAACATATAGAGCGTGTAACTTACTTGTATCTAATATGATTCATAAAATCCTGGTCAACACAGCCTTTCGGCACTTTGACTGTAGTAACTGTAGCAAGTCTATCTTCAGGTTTTGGTATGAGAAATTCAAATCCATAGTGGGTTAGCATTTTGTGAAATAAAGCGGTTGTTTGAGCATGACGTGACCAAGCTTTTGGCAATGTTTCATTTGAAAGCTCAATAAGGCAACGGCGCAATGCCCATATTAGTGGAGGGCTTAAAGTGTGATGGTAACTGAAAACAAAAAACACATTTTTTAACGTTGGTTACAAAAATGGTTCTAATCGTTTAATTTTTGTGTTTATTATAATTATATTGATAAATTTTTAACGCTTTCAGTTCTTCCCTTCCGTTCTACGTCCTTGATTTGAGAACTGGCAGTAAATATAAAATTAGAAGCATTTAATGTATATTTCTTTTTTGGCGTTCATAAGTGTACATTGTGTTACCTATATGAATTTTTGACTTTTGAATGATAATTATTATATATATGTAATAATAATTACATATATGGGAATTACTTTTATAACTACGTTTGCGAGAATTATAATTTGATTAATTATGCTCCATCTAAATACTATTATAAAAAAAAACCATAAAGTTTCGTTCATAGTGTCGTTTTGATCTGTGATCATATTAAAAATGTGTTATTAATAAATATTTTAATCATTTGTGTGAAGCTTATATATTTATTTAAATTAATTTAATTTTCAATTTTTACTCTTACTCTAGTATACGGTTTACTTATATTATATATTTATTTAAACTTACTTTTTACTCTTCTCGAAGCAATTCCATTGTTTCGCAATTAATGTAACGTCGAAGTAGAATGCTGGCTCGTGTGTGCGTCTGTTAATCTTTTGTCTAAAAATTAATAAACGTTTTTTATAAGAATTTCCCAACCTGGATGACTCTTTTTCGTGATAATACTTCCATTTCCGATTAAATTGATTTTACCGCTTAAGTTCGGAAGAGTTTCAATTTAAGACGTATAATCCGAAAAATATAAAGATTGATAAGCTTAGCCTCATTGATAAGTATATAATTCTATTCTATTCATAATAATAATTCTTATGAAATTTTTATGCATATTCAGTAAGTCTGAGAATCGTCTAATATCTATCTTTCAAACCCCTAAGGGATGTCCGCTCCATACAGCATACAAAAATACATACAACCCCTATTTTTTATTATTATTTTTTATTAAGATATAGCATATAAAGAAATGAATGTATAACATACTGTGCTAGTTCGCTGAATGCCACAGGGGTGATACCTGCAGGTCCACTCAGAGCTTTTTGTGTTGACGTATACACTGCGTCTACTCCCCATTCATCCATCAAAAATGGTACAGCACCCAGTGACACCACAGTGTCTACCAGCAAAAGAGTTCCGTATCTGAAAAAAAAAGATTTAAAAATTATTAATTTCACTTGTTTGAAAAAAATAAGAGAATAGAAAACACTATTACACTTATTTTTGAGTTAAATTTGTTAGTAAGAACAACTTCTTCTCTCTTAAGGCTACGTTAGTAAAACATGTAAAAACAATATAAGATTTAATTATAAATTACAGTCGTGAAATTTGTGTAGAACGGCAAAAAGACGTTAAAATAAACAATTAAATTAATTATACGCTTTTAAATTCATACGCAGCCTTCAGTACCAGGAAATGGCAAAATACTAAAGTATGTGTAAACTGGAAAAGATGAGGAAAAGTCAAGGCAAATTTTTCATGCGTTTTTCATAATTTATGTCAAAGCGAACTCATTAAGTAATGAAACAGGGAAAGCACGCGGCGTCTGTACTACATAAAATATCAACGCACTTGGAAGGTTTCAAAGCAAGGAGGTATTTATTTTGATACTAGCCGCCCGCCCAAGGTTTGTATGACGCTCACCTTTGAGGCCTGTAAGATAAAGCTTATTTTTCATGTAATTAATATTCATTAAGAACCTTTATAATTATCTAACTCTGGGATGTAGGCTTGTAAGAAAAATCCATAATCCACGTCGGCCCAATAAATTTACATGTTAAGTAATATCATTTAGACACATGTCTATATCGTTTAAGTTTATAATAATAATTTATTGCAAGAATATGGTACAAAAATGTGTTAGATTGTACAATCGTAAGTTCGCATGTTCTGCTACACACAATGGCGCGCAAATTTGACTTTAATGGAATTTTACATTTTACATCATTATTCATATGAATTGGTCAGTTCTGATATTATTTGTATCGTACATATCATATCATACGTTATTAAATTTATATCAACTACGGTGTCTCACGCAAATAATCATTTATTGAAAAATACATTTTTCCAAAAGTAATACACCAAGTCGACTTTTAAAGACTAGACGGAAGATCTTTTAATTATTTTGGTAAATTATTGAATACCTTCATAAGCACTCATGAAGAAAGAAAATGTTTAACAGTACAAAACCGGCCTTTGAAAACATGACCTCAGGGCTACGAAATACAAACTCAAATTACCATATATAAGAGAGAAATTATAGAATAATAAAATTTTACAAGAACGAAAAACTTGTCTAAAGTCAAAGAACATAAATAAAAACCAACAACGTTCTGGTACAGTTTTAATGTTTATATTTAACTGCCATTATTTTCAGCGGTATGCTAATTGCGGTATCTTAAGAACTTGTAATTAAAGGAGTTTTAACCAGAGTTTTAAAGAGAGTAACAAAAAATGAAGTCATGGCCGGATGGGGATGTAATTAAATTGTTCCGAACCTGTGTCTCGTTTAAGCTTGGCTTATCGAATAGTTTTGCCGCTGAACTTTTTTGAGTTTGGAAGTGCACTCACAATTTCCTGTGACAGTTAACGTTGTTGGTGAACTTGGGTGATCAATTAGTCTGAACTTGAAATGTAAGAATTTAAATATTTATACCTATTATTTAGTATATACGGTACACTGCAAATTCTTATGCTTGTATGATTAGGAGAAGGAAATGGTAGGACTTATTTTTAGTAAATTAATTAATAAAGTAATTAGATTTATGGTATATCCACAGATGTAACAGAACATTTAGTCTTATACTCTTATAACTATTGAGTAATGACAGTACGCATTACATATATTAAATACTGTGTTTTAGTTAAATTACTAGATGTAATCAAGATTTCTATAAAATGTATAGCAAAAAATTAATGATCGTCTTGCAATTTATTTATTTATTTTCTTTTGTCGATAACCTACTCTCATTATTTTTTTTTCTAAAACAGACATTTAAAAAAAAAACTGCATTCAAAAGATCAAAGGGATCGCAACTCATACGATAGCTTTTTGAACGAATCTAAAAATATTCGACATCCAAGTGACAATTTTTATTTCTAAAAAAACAAGTCATCAAATGTTTTGAAGTTAGATACGAATATTATTGGAAAATTAAATAACTTCTTTTAATTTATTTTATTATACATACATGTTTCTCACAGTTTAAACCTTCCCTAAACTTCCACAAATATTTCAAGATCAACATTAGCTAGATCAGTCCAGCCATTCTAGAGTTTTAGCGAGACAAACGAACGGCATTTCTTTTTTTAATAGTAAAAATGCATAGACAATGATGACAGATGTCAAAACATTTACTTCAAATACATATATAATATATTAATACTTATATAAATTATAATGTATCGACGATTTAGTAACGATGTTAATTCTATATGTGACACAGTTAATGTTTAATAAGATATTTGAACTTACTTATGACAAATATCACCAAGGCCCTCCAGTCTCTGAATGGTGCCCGTAGAAGAATCTCCATGAGTGATGAAAAGCGCTGTTGGACGATAATTCTTCAATGCTGCTTCTAATTGCTCGAAACTAAATGTTGCGTTGAAGGGAACTTCGGTAATATGCGTAGGGATTCCTGGTAAAGTATAATATAACTAGTTAAGTATAAATTTATTCAACAAGATAAAGGATCTCCTGGATCTAGAGTTGCCCAGAAGTTTGCCATTTCAGATATGATAGGTATTAATAAATAGAAAGAAAATCAAGGCCTCAGTTACTATTTTTTATTAGTACTACAGGATACCCCCGGTAATCGGACTATTGAGTACTGCCTAAGACGCCCTATAATCCGCATTTTTTTACAAAAGAATACCTTGTAATCCAACAAATAACAGATCTAATGATTCTATATGTTATATTTATGTACTTTGAAGTACAAATCATACTTCATTATGTATGTCAAATGTAGTAAATTAAACAACAAAATAGAGAGACCCGTGTCGGATTACAGGGGGTGCCGGATTAGACATGGGCTGGATTACCAGTGCTACACTGTATTGATAATAAATTTTACATTTCATTTAATTTGTTTTTATTATTAAATTTTTGCCAATGATTAAACTAAAAAAAATGTGTGCGTGTACTAGGTGTACACACGTAAGAAGTGAAACTTCTTTATGACCTTATTAGAAACTATTTCTTTAAACACAATTTACAAATTAATTGCTGCAAATTGCGATTAGCAAATTTCAAGTCGAAAATGTTATCCGTTGTCAAACTTCAAAGTCAAAAACATACTATATGTCATATTTTAACGCCGATAAAGAAGTTTGAAGTTATTTTCGATCCTAAAACTTCTAGTTACTTAGAACAAAATTTAATGTTCGATTCTGGCGGTAGTTTTGATTTGCGTTCCCTTGACTATCCAATTCTTGAAACTCTTTAAACTGACTCCGCATATACTGCGCAAAGAACTTTGGAACTCCTTACCTCTAGATATCTGACGAGATTTTTTTTTGAGCATTTCTCTTCTTCCTCATAATTAGATACCTATATATATATATATATATATATAATGAGTCGTTAATATATATATATATATATATTAACTATAACGCTCATTAACTATAAGATTAGCTTTTACTTTTCTCTTATTAATTATTGTTTTTTTTATGATTTTGGTTTTGTATTGTATAATTCTAGTGTTACATTTAATATTTTTGTTAATTATTTATACATTTCCTCAGTAGTTATTTTTTATTTTTACATACTAGGGTTGTCTGGAAGCAATAGCTTGTTAGCGATGAGGCCGCTCGTTGCCTAATAACTTATGTAACCTGCTTTTTTATACATATGTATGTTTAAGGAAACGAAGTCTAAATAAATAAATACTATAAGATTTTATACATTATATTGGGAGCGGAGTTCATGCGGAAAATTCGTAGTTATAACTTATAATTCGTATCAAATAATAGCCTTACCATGTTTGTAAGCGATTGTTTCCGCCCTCAAGTCCCAAATACCTCTTTTAGCGATCAAAAGGGTATCGTTTGGACCAAGGAGGTTCGTTATTATTGTCTCCATGCCACTGTGCCCCGAACCACTTATGGCGAGGATGAGTTCCGACTTCGTTTGAAATGCATACTTGAGACCAGTTCTAATATCTGACATTATCTGAAAGACAATTAGCTCGTTAATAATAAATAAAATCAATGGCGCTTCAACGTTTTTAGGTCTGGGCCTCAGATTTCTGTATATATTTCATGATCATTTGTCAATCCTAAAGGCAAGTAGGTGATCAGCCTTCTGTGCATGACGCACACCGTTGACTTTTTGGGTCTAAGGCAAGCCGGTTTCCTCACGATGTTTTCCTTCACTGTTCGAGCGAATGTTAAATGCGGAAATAGAAAGAAAGCCCATTGGTTCACAGCCGGGGATCGAACCTACGCCCCCAGGGATGAGAGTCGCACTGGCTGAAGCGACGAGGCCAAGACTGGTTCAGATACAGCATGTGATTGAATTACATAATATGTCTTTATTGACTTTCATAAGTGTACATTATGTTACCTAAATGAATTAATGATTTTGAATTTAAAAATAGCGAGACCGACCGAATGATAACATAAAATAAGTTAACTTACATTAAAATAATCATCACAAATCGGAGAGAGTACTGGTTTCGTCAAATCCTTTCGGACTGAGGGTAATATGTTGCTGGGGCCGGGACCACATAACAGCAGTTCTCGTTCATCACGATCTTCGAATTGAGGAGGTGGAACCAACATTGTTTTATGTCTGTAAGAATATTAGTTGATTAATGTATCTTCCGTCTTAGATCAAACATTGACGTTTATATTATATTTTATAATCTCTTATCTTTATATATATAATTCTACTGTACGTGTATATGTCACTGAACTCCTCTTAAACGGCTGGACCGATTTGAATGATTTTTTTTGTATGCTTTTGGGTGGCGTCCTCGATTTACAAATCAGCCCGGCAGATGGCACTTCAGTTGGTATCTAGGTTATGTTTCTGTACAGCAAATAAACAGCTGGTATATATATAAATCTTCTGTGCATATGTTCGTAGTTAAACTCCTAAACTGCTGGACAGATTTTAATGAATTTTTTTATGTGTTCAAGTGGAGTAGAGAATAATTTACGTTATTAGAGTTTTTTTTATATGTAAGACGTGTGTACAGGACAACGTCTGTCGTCTGTCTAAATACATGACCATGAGCCGAACACCGGAGCTTTTCACACAACGCCTCAACAATCAGACCTTGGAACGTGTCTCGTTTAAAATAAGCACAGTAATTGATGAAAGGTGACAGGCGCCTGAATTTAAAACTTAAATAGCGCGTGTTGTATGATATTACATCTTTTATGTGCTGCTCTACAGCGTAGAATCTTGGACATTGATAGAGACTATGTTCAAAACACTGGAATCTGTTCTTAAAATGTCTTGGACAGGCCACATAGGAATAACAACCGTTCTGGAGCGCAGAAGAATAAAGAAGTGCTTATGACGAGTAAGAAAAGGAAATTTAAATAATGCCCGCCTTACTTAACACCAAAATACGACCTCCTACAACTAATCAGATAAAGCAAAGTAGCAGATAGAAGGAGACCTGGCCGCCCACGCACGTCTTGGTTCAAGAATCCTAGGCAATGGTTTGTTCAGATGTTCATCCAAAATTAAAGTAGCCATTATGATCAAACCAACCCTTGAAAGGAGATGTCACTTCAAGAAGAAATGACACAGTTGAATTCTTATAACACATTATAAGAATTCAACTGTGACATTTCCGTATACAATAAAACATTCTACGTCTAACATTTTGTTTATTCCACTTAACGTCATCTAACTTTAAAATTGACAAAGCGATAAGATGTGAACTTTAGTTCAAAGTGACATTTGATAAGACATGAGACGCGAGGCTCAAATGCAATGTTCGTACAAATTGATTCCAATACCATCGCGACGAAGATCTTCCCGAGGGACGACGATCGCTGTATGGATTTTGTAGACAAGCGAAAACTGATTTCTTACGCTGGGCGAAATAGTATTGCAAATAATATTGACAAAATATATGAAATACAAAAGCCTTAGTGTAATTCGTTCCAGTTCACTGTTCACAAAAATCGTTGTATGTAATCAAAACATTATGTAAAGTAAGAAAAACATGATAATTGCCAGTTCAAAAATGAGTTTTTAAATTACGAAAACAAATTGTCGAAGTCAAGTACAAATTCATTTAATATCTATAATTAAAGCTGTATGTTTATTATATAAAAGCTTGATCAAGTTTAATGATTGAAGAAAACAATCAATTTTGTTTTCGTAATTTAATAACCCATTTTCTCGATTACTTTTACAATTAGTTTCAATTCCATAAATTAGAGCGTAGCTATTTAATATATTATTTCTTATTTATTGACTGACTACGCTTTGTCCAATAATTAAATAAATTATGTTTATGCCCTTTTAAAATAATTTAAAAGGGCATAAACATAATATTTTTTACTTACGCAAAGAACAGATTTACACTTTAATGTTAGTTTATTTGATAAGAAATATTTATTTTACAACCGTCTGACACCAGTGAAAATTATTACTAAACGATAACCCAGAACACTCAGTCTTGAAGTTAATTATCGCACTACCAGTAATTTGAACCCGTATATTTTTAATACATTCATTAATGTTGTGCAACCTAATCATTCTTCATTAAATATAAATAGTGCGTATCTCGCGTTTTCACCAACGTTATTGCCATCGCAACATGTTAAATAGACTCGAAATCGACTGGAGTGTTTGAAAATTGTTCAAAACAATTTTTTAAAATTAGGAATCTTGGCGCGTCCACCAAATAAACAAATAGCTTGTGTATATCCCATTTGGTCCGTTGTGCCTAAAGTCCTGGCTAATTATACCAGCCTAGCTCCTTCCAGAAGCTCAGAAGTTTCCTAAGTTCATTAGTTCTTCTTTGTCAATAAATGCTTCAAGAGTCGTCTGCTTCGATTTCAGAGTCACCAATGGGAGACACGGTGTTGTGAAGTGATGATTCTGTTGATTTTCCTGAGCTGTAGGCGTTTTGATTTGGGTAAACAAACAGCTTACAGCCTAGTTATAGAAACCAACGGTTGGTTAACTAAGGAATAAACTCTCGGTTTTAAAGTTTATCACCCTCCTTTATTTCTCTCCTGGCATTACTAATATTAAGCGGTCATATGTACCAAGGAGTTGATGGGATCCCCATCGCTATACATAACAGACCGGATCAGACAATTTACTATGATTACTTAGCATACATATATTTATTCATAATGGTAAATAAAAAATTTTTATTAATTACGTGTTATAATAATAATAGCCTTTAATTCAGATACTTTTACATTTCTATACGTTTCTATTACAATCTTCTTTTAGGTATCTGTCTGTCCTTTTTTACCAAAGGCCTCCTATCCCGGCATTCCTCTCTACACTGTGCCACTTCTTCCATGTACCACCTGCTGTTTCTTTAATTTGGTTTATCCACCTTCTAAGTTGTCTTCCTCTTTTTAGTATGTTTTTGCTTCACTTTTCTGTGCCATGTTACCCGCTCATTTCCACTTGAGTTTATTTGTTTTTATTGTAACATCTGTTACGTAAGTTGTTTTTCTTAAGTCTGTATTCTTTATTTTGTCTATTCATTTCTTCCCTATCATACCTCGTTCCATAGATTACGTGTTATAAGAGTCAACAATTCAAGACTTTTTTTTTACAAAAAAAACGTTTTATCTATTAGTATATGAATTGGAGCTCTTAATAGTAGAACAAAAACAAGTGTCGGATGTTAAAAGAAATTTAAATATATATATATTGAATATGTTTATGTACTTTTCGCGCTGACGATATAATTTCTGTCCTTCAAGGTGGTCTGATTCCATTGTACCAGCTCAGGTCTCTTCCATCTTATTTCCTGACCTTTTGACAATAATCAAGATGTGTTTCTGGGCTAGGAGCAATCCCTGGCAATTACTTCGGGCAATTAAGATATGTCACATTTTCCTGGAAAAGTATAGTGAAATGCGAATGGACTCGCTAAGTGCATTACTCGATTTAAGACGCATGGTACTGTGACCATTATTTTTACAGTTCGTTTAGTCGAGGACGTGGTCTATGGTATGGTAAAAGAATTTAGGGTGTAGGTGGAACTCCTATTTATAGTAAAAATACCATTTAAATGTTTATTTTTTGTTCTTATAACACTCGCGAAACATTGTGTTTTACGAATTCATTGACTATTGGAGTCTGTTTATCAATGGGATGTATATTATAAATTATAATTATGATTACCTATACTGATAATATATAGAAGGAAGTGATGGTGCGTCTAAACGGGCCATGTTTTGCTGCAATTGATGGCTGCACTGTTGGCCACTAATTGCCCGGCCATTACAAAAATATTTTAATGCAGCTGATGGCCGAACAATCTATGGCTGGGCAATGTGTTGCAATATGTCTGCAATAGTATGGCCCATGATGCAGACTCCTAAACGGGCTACACAAACCGGCAACAATGGCTGACGAAATCACACTTGTCGCAGCAGCTTATATTGTTTTAAAAAAGAAACAGAAAAAGAAGAGATTGTGGATTCGACCTTACTTAAATAGGCGTGAAACTGTAGGCAATTTGAGTCTAGAAATATGCCTTGATAATAAATTATTCAAGAACTTTACTAAAATGTCAAAATCAGTCATTTTTAAGTAGTAACCTAACGTCAAAATGCAGCTGATCGCAAAACACAGAATATAGCAACAGGCACACTTCACTCATAGCAAACTTCATGTCGCGTAGAAAAGGATACACTGTGCCATAACAAAGAGAGTGACTGAAACAACAATAGAACTGGCTGTGCAATATTGCAGTTGAATTCGATAGCCTAGCGATCGTCCGGCCACCCATCGGGGCAACATCGGCCATATGTGGCTATACAAAACATGTTTGGCTATATGGCCGGGACATTACTGCAATATTGCATAGTGTGGCTGCTATTGTTTGCAATGTTGCCGGCCACAGTGTTGCAGCCATCAATTGCAGCAAAACATGGCCCGTTTAGAAGCGCCATTAAATAAATACTGTGGCAAAAAAACGCTGTATATATATTATTATTGAAATAGTTGAATGTTGAGGGATTTTGTTTAATGTGGTAAAACTAAAGATTTTAATGCAACTTAATTCTTCTTAATGGTAAAAACATGTTTTCATAAATTATTATTTGAATCGCATTTTAATTGATTGATAAAAACATTTATTATTTTTACATATTTATTTATTTATTCACACTTCGTTGCAGAAACATAATACAATTGACATAATTCAATGAAAAAGAGGGCAACTGGCGGCCTTATCGCTTTCGAGCGATCTCTTCCAGTTTCTCTTTAATATGATCATTCAACGTTTGCTCCAACCCAGTATAAATCTGTTCCATTATATCTTACAAAGACATCCTATCACTGAGTTCGCCATTGCGGCCCCAAGCTGTGCACCAATGGACTTTTATTTTGTATTTAACAATCGCCCGTACAGTGATGAGAAATATCGTGAAGAAATCGGTATGCCTTAGACCTAAAAACGTACTTTTTGTGTATGTGTAGGCGCAGAAGGCTCACCTACTTGCCAATTAAAAACATGTTTACGAAACAGACGTCTCAAGAAACCAGACCATATGTTATTGTGGTTTTTAGTACGTTTGAAATGGGAGTTTGTCGGTGTGAATTTTCTATTTGTACGTTA